GAAATTTTGGACCTGGAAATATGAGACTAAAAATGGGCTGAATATTTGGACTTAAAAGATTGGGCCCGAAAATTTGTGCATAAAAATTGGGCCGGAAAATTTGGGTCTGAAAACATGGGACTGAAAATTTGGGCCAAGAATATTGGGTGTGAAAATTTGGGCCTGAAAATTTGGACTTCTAAATTTGGGCCTGAAGTTTAGACCTAAATTTTGGGACTTAAAACTCATGCCTGAACATTTGGGCCTAAAATTTGGGCTTGAAAATTTGGGGCTCGAAATTTCAGCCTAATTTAGGCCTAAAAGATCGGTCCTGAATATTTGGGCCTGAAAAACTCAGGCCTGACTATTTGGGCCTAAAAGATTGAGCCTAAGAAAGGGCCGGAAACTTTGAGTCTAAAAATTCAGGCCTGAAAACTTTGGCCTAGACAATTGGGCGTGAAAATTTGGGCCTAAAAATTTAGGACTGAAGATTTGGACCTTAAAATTTGGGCCTAAAAATTGTGCCTGAAAATGCAAGCATAAAAATGTAGACCCACATTTTTTACTCTTACCATTGAGGGGTATGGTTATTTTTTTACTATTGTTGATGATTGCACTCTTACTACTTGGGTTTATCTGCTTTGCCAGAAATCTGACGTCCTTACTATTTTTCTTGACTTTTATACTTTTATTCTCACTTAATATGAGATTCCTATCAAGTCTGTGAGGTCCGACAATGCACATAAGTTAAGTTTTCATTCATTTTTTAAATTTAAAGGGATTCTTTCATATCACTCTTATGTTGAAACTCCGCAACAGAATTCTGTTATCGATGGTAAACATCAGCATATCTTAAATGTCGTATGGGCTTTACTTTTCCAGTCTCATGTTCCTTTAGTGTATTGGGGTGACTGTATATTGACCGCTGTTTATATCATTAACTGCACTCCGTCTCCTTTACTCTCACATAAGACTCCTTTTGAGCTTCTGACATCTAAAAAGTCATGTTATGATCATTTACGTACTTTTGGATGCCTGTGTTACAGTTCTACCCTCATGAGTCAGCGTCATAAATTTTCTCCTCGTTCTCGTGCATGTGTCTTCCTCGGTTATCCTTCTAGGTTCAAGGGCTACAAACTCCTTGACCTAGAAACTAACCAAATTCATATTTCTCGTGATGTTACCTTCCATGAGACTATTTTTCCTTTCTCTACTCCATCTCCGAGTATTCCTCATCCAGAGTTTTTTTCAAGATCGTGTTTTATCTGTTTCCCTTGATTTCCCTACACCACCTCCTTCTCATGTTTTCGCTCCACAATCTCTTTCTTGTGTTCCGACTTGTCCTCAGCATGTCACACGACCTCCATCTTACTTGGTTGATTATCACTGCTATCATACTGATACCCCCATAGTCACATATCCTATTTTATCATTTCTCACTTACGGTAGACTCACACCTCATTATCACAATTTTGTACTTGCACTTTTTTCTCACATTGAGCCCCAATCATTTTCCGAGGCAGTCCGATTAATAGTTTGGAGGGATACAATGCATACTGAGTTGAGCGCTCTTGAGAGCAATGATACCTAGTCTGTTGCCCTCCAAGCAAGAAACTAGTTGATTGCAAGTGAGTCTACAAGATTAAGTATAGGTCTGATGGTACTATCGAGCGGCACAAGGCCCGCCTTGTCGCCAAGGATTTTACCCAATAGTTTGGTGTTGACTTCATTGATACATTCTCACCAGGACAAGGTCTTCACTTTCCTGCTTCGTCTTCTATTTAGATCAAGGCTTTTTCAAATGCTAATTGGGGTACTTGCCCTGACACCAGAAGATCTCTTACTGGGTACTGTATCTTTCTTGGATCCTCTCTTGTTTCATGGAAATTAAAGAAGCAGCAGGTTG